AAGCTTAATAAACTGTTCTAATATTTACCAGTCTGCCAAGATATTTTACTGAAAAATCAAGTTATATGTGTTCCTATAAGAAAGTACAGTATTAACTTGATGCAGAGCTCACCTGTTGTGTTGGCAAGAGGATGCTGTGTATAAACCTTTCACCTGGATTCCCAGAGGATCCTGCAAGCAGAGTCTGTGAATTCAGCTTCAACTATCATTAAATGAGTTCTCAAAAAAAAAAAAAAAAAAAAGAGGGGTTTTCCTAATGGGTATTTCTTCTTTTGGGGAGGTCTACCTCTGTTGGCAAAACAAACCCCCCAGTGGTATTTTGATCAAACAGGCAAGAACTTTAAGTTCCCCATAATCTCAAAAAAGAACCCACTAAAACAAAGATATAGAACACTAAAGATATCAGTTAATATGTTCTAAGGTCCTTGATAACCTTAAATAACTGAGACAGCTTTCACAGAGAGTTAATGATTCTATCATCAAAACCAAAACCACATATTTGCCACAATCCATGGAATTATTAACCAACCTCTATTGAGCTCTTACTAAATATTTTGATTATCTAACTTAGTCCTCAATCTCCATGAAGGAGATGTTTTATTATTGTCCAAGATTCTGAGGCTCATTGGTATTTAATGACTCACCTAAGGTAATATACCTCTAGAGGCAGAGACAGGAAATGTACCCTTATCTATTTCTAGAACCTAGTTATTCTAATTGAGCTAATGCTTTGCATACAATAAAATATATATGATCTAAATGTTCAGTTCCATGCAGTTTGCTAATTATGTATACCCATGTAACTATCACTCAAACAAGATAACATTTCCACTGCAGCAGAAAAATCTCCTTTCCTCTTTCCAGTCATCCCCCCACTCCCCAGAGGCAACCACTAACTCCTGCCATCATATATTGGTTTTGCCTGTTCTTGTATTTAATAAGTAGAAGTGCCCATCACTCCTTTATGACTGGCATTTTCAGTTTAACACAATGGTCCTGAGATTCATCCAGGTGGTTGTATACATAACAAGTTCACTCCTTTTGCTAACCAAGTACTATGTCATTATACAGATGTACCGTAGTTTATCCAGTAGTTTATCCACTTTCCTGTTGATTGTCGTAGACTGTTTTTAGTTGTTGGCAATTATGAATAAGGTTGCAAATGAACGCTCTATACAAGTCTTTTCTGTGCACATTTGTTTTTATCTTCCTTAGGTAGTTAGACATAGAAACTGTGGGTCATAGGGTTGGTGTGTGTTTAACTTTACAATAAACCCAAGTTCTTATCCCCTGTATGCTATTCCCTCACAATGTTATTAGCTGATTAACATGTTTGACTGCTCTTAAATGACACATTCTCTGAGGGCACAGAACCCATCTCCAGTTCCTGGGCTGTCTCCCACATAGTAAACGTTTGCTGAACAAATGAATGACCATTGTTCATACCCCCATGCCTTCTGTGAGTGTTACTATAGCATAAGAAAATATGTTTGGCATGCGTGGAGAAATATGACAAGCCAGAGGGTGGGAGGTGAAGTGCTGCTCATTCAAGCAAGGTGAGAAACTGCCACTGTAGGGCACTCTTGACTTCCCCATTTTCTTTCTGACATGACCTTTCTTAGATGGGAATCTCCCTCAGTGATCTTGCTGGGAGAAAGAAGGATGGCTGCTTCTGATCAAGGGATACTACGGAAAGGGAGGAAGGTGTCACTGCAGTTGAGGCCTACAGTGGCTAGAGTTACAGATACTTTGTCAAATTGGAGGACAGAGGAAACAGCAAGCCAGGAAAGCCTGACCTCCTGGAAGTAACCAACCAAAAAACCCACTAGAGCCCAGAGGCCCAGCCTCCAACACAAGCTACTGGAGTATTTGGTTTTGGTAAAAGTGCTATATATTTTTTTATGCTGAAAATCGAGTAAAGAATACATTTTGAGGAGAAAGTAAAATGTGTATGTCAAAATGTAAGCAGTCTTAAAACACAAGATAGGTTCCTGAAAACATTGGGTCCACAGTGTTTTACACTTACACACACACACACCCTTGGGTCCACAGTGTTTTACACACACACACACACACACACACACACCCTTGGGTCCACAGTGTTTTACACACACACACACACACACACACACACACCCTTGGGTCCACAGTGTTTTACACTTACGCACACACTCACCCTTGGGTCCACAGTGTTTTACACTTACACACACACACTTCCCATCATCATTGAGGCAGAAATTTGATTTCCATGAATCCATTCATTCATTTACCTCAAACCACCAAAATATATATGGTGAGCTCAACCTCTAACTTCCTAGAAAGTGATTAAATTGTTGCTGACTTTCTAGCTATTCAATCTAGGTTGGGGAAATATGGCAAGTTCAACAATTTAAGAACTTTCTCATTGGAGGAGGATTTGTATTTTACATAAGCCAAACAGGGCTTCACCTCATACTGGTCTCAGGTGACATGGGCAGCCCTTAATTTCCTCTGGTCCCAGGTTACTGAGGACTGAAATTGTTTAGAATTCCTCAATTCTGGGATTTTGAGAGCTGACTTAAGTCCTCCTTCATCTAGATAGTACCACACTGAAGTCATCCTAGGCAGATGGATGTTTATCCTATTCTTAAAATCTCCAGGGAAGTAAATTCTCCACAACATCCCTTGGTAACCTTCTCCAGGGTTTTATCAAGCATACGGTGAGGAAGTTCTGATGTAGAAACCAATAAAAATATTAACTCTATGAGCCTAGCTACAGGCACTGGGAAAGGGTATGTGTTTGGGCACTTTGCCTTAATGGTAGAGCGATGTATTTACAAAACAGGCTGTCCAAACAGAAGCCATTTGCCAGGAGCAGATGTGGGACGTTGATGCAAGAGAAATTGCCACAATAAATTCTGTTCCATGAACCGTGTAAGATATTGTTGCATATAGCATTTTTAAAAGTACAAATTGATATCCTTGCTAGTCCTTGTTTTAATTCCTAAGCCAGGTTTGTAAGTCATTTAAAAATATCCATAGCTGCAAAGTTTGCAAATGACTAGGCCTTAGCAAACAGCACATTAGAGTTGTTATGAACTAGTTTGCTTCTCTCTAAGTTCTATATATTCCACCTTTTCTGCCGTGAACATACAATGCTTTTATAATCAGAGTAAAGATATTTTAAGACAAAATTAACCATCAAAATTAAAATGTAGGCCCAATTCTGGTGTATTTATTGCAGGAAGTTTTAATCATACGTCAGACCAAAGTGCATTTTTTAATTGAAAATGATCATTTAGCTAGCCTTTAAATGTTAACAGTTCCCATATAGAAAATGCCCTAAGATGGTCTTTAGAAGCTTGTGTGCCAAAATTTCCTGTCGCACTCAGTTATCTCACAGCAATCTCTCTCCCTGGGGGTTACAGCCTCCCCACACACAAGCACCACCACAACATAAGAATAACAATTTTTTTCAACAAGGAATGCCCAAATGCATCAGAGAAAGAAACAGATATGCCCCACCCCCAGAGAAAGCGCTACACATTGTATTTCAATCATATAAACTCCCCCAGCTTTACTCGACCCTCACAACTCAGAATATAAAATAAAGCACGTGTTATCTATAATTTCGTTTTCAAGAATTAATTTTGCTACCTGAGAGTGGAATACACATTTTTTAAAAACTTGCCTTAAGATCTGGGGGGGGTGGGGGGTAGGGCGGCGAAGGGGAGCCCCTCAAACACATTTGGAACCTTTCCTACAGAAACAAATCCAAATAAAGTTAAGAAAAGCCAAGTCGTCCTGCACTCCATAGGGGCCTCCAGGGAAGCAATTTATCAAAATTAAAGTGTTTCACAGATCATTTCTTCTGAAAAGTTTGCATGCTGTCAATAATCTGCAAGTCTTTTCCTCTCAGAGTGGCAGTTTCTGCCTTCCTAATAAAATAAGAAAAGCCGAGGCCCGGGAGTGTCAGAGACCCTCGGGGCGCACCATCTACTACCTCCCCAAAGCCCCCCATCAGGCCGGCTGCTGGCAGTGAGAAACAGCCCGCAACCCCAGACACAAACTGCGTCGCCGCAGGGACCGAAACAGACATTCTTTAGAAAGCAGACGGCGGGGAAAACCCGCCCCCGCGGCTTCAAAGGTACCGGTGCGCCCCGCCGCCGGGCCCCGCCAGCTGCTGCCCGAGAGAAGCCGCCGCAACTCCAGCACTCACCATCTCTGTTCGCGGGGCCGCCACAGCTCCCGGCAGACGCCAAGTTCAAACTTCGCAGCTGCAACGAGAAGGCGGCGCGGGCATCGCCGGCGGGACTCGCCCGCGCTCAACAATGGGCGGCTCGGCCGCGCCCTGCCCCACTGCGCCCGGCGACTCTGCTGCAGAGCAGCGGGGCGGCGGCTTG